GTCCATTGTATTTAGTCCGCGTTTCCGTTTGTTTCCCCAGTCCGGTCATTGTATTGTCAATGTGTTTTCACCTGCCTTGTGTGGAATTAAACCCGGTGTTCCCCTATTCCTGGAGTCCCTTCGCTTGCTTCCGCCCTGTATTGCGACACCAGGTATCTCAGTGGGTCTCCTAACTATCAGAGTTTTTTTCAGTCTTTGCTTAACAACCCCCCCTTTTTACATTCCTCTGTTGGCCCTTATCTGATCTTTGTCATCTGACCTTTTTGACTCACGGGGATTCCGCAATTGAGTTTGAAGGACAACAATTAGCATAACAATTAGTTGATAATCATCATAAAATAATAATTTATTAAAATGTAATTAATTTCCCTACACATTGGTGGACATTAAAATTTACTTTTTTTCCTACACCAGAGAATTTACAGTGAGTGAGTGTGAGTGTTGATGATATTTCTATCATACGACAGGCATGAAAATGGAAGAATACAAACATTACAGAGGGTGAAGAACAAAGGTCATTTTCACGCGCGGGGCCCCCCAGCCTGCCGCTGCCTGAGGAGCTGGGGGTCGTCGCCCCCCCTGCAACCTGCTGCCCAGGATGGCAATCCTCTCCTGCATCCTCGTTTCTCCACCTTGTGATGCTCTGGGAGAATCATCAGCTTCCCCTGTTTTCCCTCCTTTTTCTGAGCCAGGGGAGTTTGTTCTTTGATATCTCCTAAATGGCAGCGTCCTCGCTCTGCTCAAAGTGCTCCATGCGGATTGGACTCTTATCCAAACAAGACTGAGGCCATTTTGAACACACTTCCACCAAACGAGATTCACATTCCAAAAACCAGTGGCGGCTACTGGTCTGTCAAATAGGGGAAGCTCATTTTCGGCCTACATCATAAAATTGTCTATTTATTTAAAAGTAAATTCTGCCCTATGTTCCTTTTCAAGAAAATGGTCTGTGACCCTGTCGTACCAACTAGGCGTCTTTTCCAGTGACTTGACCAGTTTCCTCTCAATGGCCAGCAGAGCTAGGCTGCTTAAACGGCCTTGGCCCAAACCCCACCTTTGACCAAACAACACATCCGTGAGATGGTTTCATCAAGAGGCATGGCCAGCAGTACATTTTATTTGTCACAGCACTTCCAGTCAGCCAGCTAACTTTGTCATACCAGGAGAGCTGAAAAGACCTGTTATTTTTCCCTATCTTTTGCACTAAATCAATCTTAGGTGTTGATCTGCCCTGCTGTTTAATTCTAAGTTTTTCCTCGTAAGGAACACTTTCAAATGGCTTCGCCAAAATCAGGTCGACAATATTAGCACTGTCTGCCATCGTGTGCAGGACGCTAGCCTAGCCTAAGCCTACTATATGAATGAATGAATGAATGAACGATCTAAAAAAAATATTAAACTCTGTAAAAGTGAAACAAGGAATGTGGTGTATAATTGTGTGAAATGTATGATGAAAATCAAGCAATTTTGGCAAGCAAATATAAAGAAATAGGTTGCAGCAGTTTTTATTTCGGCTGAACTTGAGAAATGCGCGACGGGACTGAGCGCGAATAGCCTCAGCGATTCCTTATAGTACAAAATCGCTGTCAGTCAAAAGGAGATGCAATCTTTCGACAGACCCTCCAATCATCACGCAGAAGCTCGGAGTCCAGGCCAGCCCACTCCTCATTTCCTCCTCATTCACCCCCAGAGACGCTGAGCGTCCGTGGGCGGGACATAATCGCAGCGTTTATCCAATGACCGTCTACTATCAAAGCATTAAAAAAACAACGTTCAAAGCAGCCGCATTGAAGTCAATGGACGCTGGGCTTCAATGGGGAAATGCACTGTGACGCTACGGGAATGTATGAGA